TAGGACAGTGAAGACCCAGTGGATAAGAATCTGAGGAGACCAATCTGAAGAATGTGGAGAAGGAAGAAGTACTAGAAAAGGCTTGCCTTCAGAGAATGTACTGCAGAAATGCAGAGGGGCATTCCATTCTCCTTGGCAGAGAGATATGCTTAAGTTGTGAAGCCGAGGCCAGGACAACAGAAGTTCATTTTCTTAGTCTACAGGGCTCACCATTATTCACCAGAGACAAAGAACTCCTGGTGCCCCAGCTAGGCCTGCCTTTTATTTTTCTGGGTGTGAAGTCAGTTTAAAAGATAACTCATTTATACGCATGGCAGAAACAAAATGACTCTAAACATTATCTGTATGAATAACCTTTAGAAAGCTGCCCAGGAAGGACTAATTGCTGAAGTCTGTTTCACAAAAACAGAACCAGAATATATGAGTGTCTTTATTATCTAGAGCAATATGCTTTTTCCTCAATTAGAAAAAGAGACCAGCACAGTTATTTTCATCTTCTTTTACCTCCATCTCCCCATTCACTGGTGCTTTTAATTTACATAAACTGTAAAACAAAACAAAAAAAGAAACCTCACCCACAGTATACACCATTTCTGTAGTCTAAATGAAGTTTTCATTCTAAGGCTGCTGCAGGATCTGGATTAAATGTGAGAGATGAGTTTAGACAAGTCTATTAGAACATCTAATGTGCAAAATAGTATGTTAGTGCTCAATAATCTCAGAGAGCTGCAGGTCTGCTAACACTGATGAGATTCTAAGATTCCACGTTCATGCAGTGGGTTAACTAAAACCACTTTGTAAAGAAGCAAGAGAGAAAATGCAGGTGATAACTTTTCTGTCTCTATGAATAAATAACACCCTTTCTGTACCTGTTTTCCTTTAAAAGGTGAAGTTAGAGCACATACTGTATTTTAAATGCCTTCCTAACTAAATATTGTTATCTATCACTTCATTTTGTTTAAATTTCCACAGGCCAACAAAAGTAACTCCTTCCTGTAGGAAAAGATGTGTGTGTATCTTTAGTACTTAACGATAAACATTAACAGGTACTTTCAACAGGAACCTGCTGGGGATGGCACGGTTCGCTGTGAGGCCGATGGCATGTGTTCCTCACATTTCAAGGCCTTCCACTGTGAGCAAAGTTTCCTAAGACATACAATGCAAATTAAACAGGACTGCTTCTCCATTCTGAATGGGTCTTTCCAAGTTCATTTTCAGGTGGTGAGGGTATGATCCCAGCTACATGAGAGGCTGCAGGAGGAAGACCTCATGCTTGAGGACAGCCTGGGCAATCTGACAACAGTTTCAAAACAACAAGGCCTTGGCTTCAAACTCCAGCACCACACATACACACATAAAACCCTCAAGTTTTTCCCAAAAGAAATTTTGCCAAAATAGTTCTGTCCCTTAGCATGTACCTACTATGCTAAAGCAGATTAAAAATAAGAACAGATAAAACTTAAGAGCTTTTTTCCCTTGGGATGGAGGGTGTCTCACTACATAGTTCAGACAGGCCTTGAACTCACTATGTATCCCAAGCTGGCCTGGAACTTATAGCAATCCTCCTGCCTCCTGCCACCATGCCCAGCTTTAAAATACCATTTTTTGGGCCAGGGATTTAGCTCAGTGGTTTCGCCACCTTCTGCGCATGTGCAAGGACCCGAGTTTGATCCCTGGTACCAAAAAAAAAAAACAAAACATTTTTTAAAATTAGGCTAAACATTCCCATTATCACTTAAATTCAGACTTTAAAAAAAATCACCTAACAATTCTCAGTTAAAACAAATGGATTTATAGAATCCTAATTTTAAGGACACATGGATCCACTGGTTCTATTATCTTGTTGTCATGCTTCTCCATGACCACTAAGAATACTCTTCAAATTTAGTACTTTTTTTTTTCTTCCAGTATCAGGGATCGAACTCAGTACCTTGCACTTGCTAGGCAGGTGTGGATCCACCGAGCTACATCCCTGACCCTAGTACTGTATTATTAACATCCAAAATTTTCCCCTTCTCCCAGAGGCAAGAAAAAGCCACAGGCTGTTCTAAGTAAACCACTTCTATTTTATCTCCACTTCCCTCTATCTGATGTTGTATCACAGTCCTCTGAAAAATCAAAAAGGTAATGATGGAAAGTTATGGTAAAGGTAAGGAGAAAAACCTTAGATCTTTCTGTTGTAAAAAGGTACTGCTGGGCCGGGAATTTAGCTCAGTGGTTTCATCGCCTGCTGCGCAAGCGCAAGGACCCAAGTTTGATCCCCAGTGCCAAAAAAAAAAAGTACTGCTTTGGGCCAGGGATGTAGCTCAGTGGTACAGTGCCTGGCTGGCAAGCGTGAGGTTCTCAAAGGAATTCTTCATAATTTTGGAGAAAAATTGTTTCACAATTAAATCATGATTAGGACCTAGTTTTCCTGCCTACAGGCCATCTATGGTATGTACAGACAAAACTGCTGTTTTTGCCTCTAGTCACAGCTAAGACCTCAAAGGTCTGGTGATGCTGTGATGCTCCAGGGCAAGATTACCCCAGCTACAGACTTTCTGGAAAAAAACAAAACTTCATCTACATAGTTCCTCATTGTTCTAGGATTATCCTCACTGCCCCAAGTCATCTGCTACATTAGTTTCTTCCAATGTACTGTTGTACCGAATAGAGGTGTGCCAAGCTCGAGGTCTTTTGTTGTCTTCGCTGCCTAGAGCAGCACTGATCAGTCCCAAAGTTCAGCTTCTTCTGTAACTCTCATCTCTGTCTATATAGTAATTAATTTGCCTTCTGCTGTCGTGGCTTGCAGGAGACTAGGACTTAATGCAAAGGTTCTAGTAACGTGCCCTTTCCCTGCTCCCTATAGCTCTGAATTCAATTCCTGGCACCAAACAAACAAACAAACAAAAAAAGGTATACTGCTTTTATTTATTGCAGTAAAAGTACTTTTCATAAGGCATATACCTAAGTATCACAAACTAGATTTACACAGAAATTCTATAAAGATATAAGTTAAATCTAGCCAGTTTCTACCCAGCCAAGTAACTGCCCAAGGGAAGAAAATATTGTTATCTTTGTACAGGACCTAAAAGGAAGACAAAGATGGATCAAACATTCACATCTTGCACACCTAATTTAGGTGTTAACTAACATCACCATCTGGAAAGCTTTACCAAAGGGGGTCAGGGAAATCCTGCACTAGTAAATTATACCTCAATTAAAAAAAAAAAACCACGCCAGGGATGTAGCTCAGTGGTATGGTACCTGCCTGGCAAGTGCAAGGTCCTGAGTTCAATTCCTGGTACCAAAAAAAAAAAAAAAAAAAAAAGACTAACTTATCAAAAAAATAAATGGTCTAGCCAGGTGTGGTGGTACACACCTGTAATCCCAGCACATGGGAGGCTGAGGCGGGGACTCTAAGTGAGCTGGAGGACAGCCTGGGCTACATAGTGAGTATAAGGTCAGCCTGACGACGAGACCTTGTCTCAAAAACAAAAACAAAAAAATTAAAACTGTTTTTCAGCTAATACCATACGTTCAATTATGTAGAAAAATATTTTCCAGCTAAAGATAAGTGGAAGCAAATTATTCTTCTGTTCCTATCTATGACTTGAGAGAAGCCCTGGACCTTGCTGCTCCTGGATATATTTAGCAGCCTTTCTGGACAGGTGTTCTGTCTTCTGTGAGACGACGCATACCACAGTCAGGAGGAAGTGGCTCAATAGCCAAGGCCTAGGGCGCAGCCCCTTCTCTGCCTTTTCCTGCCTGTGTATCTTTTGGCAAGTGACTTTATTTTCTGTGCCCCAGTTTCTCCTTTAAATAGTGAACATACGCTTTTCTTTTTTTTTTTTGGTACGGTGGATCGAGCTCAGGACCTTGCACTTGCAAGGCAGGCGGTGGCACCACTGAGCTAAATCCCCAGCCCTCTCTCCTTTGAATCAATATGAACATTACACAGCAGGATTTACATATAGGAAAGAAATAATGATGTTGATACCATGAAAGTAACTACACACTTTTAATGAATGGTCCTATAATTCAAAAGAATAATGGAAACGTCATTACTGTTATATAGTTTTATCATAAGATGTTCACGGCATCCTCTAATCTTTGATTTTCTTTCATCTCTGAGATTCCCCAATTATCTATCACATTAAACAAAAGCTCAATTACTTTTGTTAATCATAAAAAAAAGAAAATACAAAGCTGATGAGATTTTAAAAGGGAGAAATCTGTACTTGTTCTTTAATTGTTCCTGAATAATTGCTCCTACATAAGAGTTACTGATTTTCTTCCCTTTTAGGTGAGTGAGTTTGGATTGCTGGTTTAAAAATAAGACCCGGATACAGGTCAAATCCTATTACTGGGAAACTAACTGAAGTACAGTTTATTTTGGTGTATAAGAATTCTGCTATAGGTATGAATGAGGCTAGGAATCTTTCTCATTGTGGCATTTTTCCGCTACTGTGATAAACGTGGCATGAATGGCTTAGGAATCTTTCTCATTATGGCGTTTTTCCGCTACTGTGATAAACGTCAAGGGTCAAAATTTTTAGGTGCATAATTTAGTAGTAGCATTACTTTAATACTGGCTTCATTTCCTCACCATAGAGTAGCCTTTTAATTGCACAAAAATTTTCTGCCTAGTATGCATACTGAAGCACTCTTTTAGGAAACCAAAAACTTTAGCAAATATTTACCAATTCCCCAAGATGAATGTAATTTTTCATTGCAAACTTGTAAAAAAAGAAGTTGGCTGCTAAAATATACAATAGGGGTTCAAATATGGGCTTTCAAGGTCCATGAATAAGAATATACACAAGCACATACAGCTGCTGGAAAGGTATGTGACTTCCTTAAAAGGAGCAGCACCCAACTGTAAAAAGGGCTGAAACCACCGCAATCAAGAAAGCTCACTGTCATTTTTTGAATAAATGTATGTAATTTCACAGTGAAAAGTGGGTTTTTCAGCTCAAGCAGTGAAAACCACCAAGTCTGTGACCATGTGGACTTCGTACCTCTGTGTCCCAGGAATCCTGAAAGACAGGGTTTCTACTACTCCTTTTGCTCTGGGGTGGGAGATGATTATCTTCTTCATTGCCGTTCCTTCTCCTTTTCCTGAAATTAAAACACAAGAAGAAATAACAATCCAGTGATTGATCATTAGACTCCTATTATAAACCATGGAAACATATAAATTTGTCCTCTTGGCTGAAAAACAATTTACTATGAAACCCCAATAGGGTAAAGTTGGAAGCACATGGCCATCATGCCCATCATGGGGCAATAAGACCAAAAATATAAGATAGTGGCAGAAAGGTCAAACTTAAATTAGTAAGACTAATTTCTAAAGAGAAGCTTGACTTTAAATTTAAATGTCTGTGAGAAATAAAATAAGAATAGCTCAAGACATTAACACCTAACCATTCAAACTAGATTAGTGGCACCACGCCTGCCTTGCAAGCACAAGGTCCTGAGTTTGATCCCCTGTACCAATCAAAAAAAAAAAATAAAAAATTTTAAAACCCCAACAAATTACCTAACTTCACTTTTACTCCCTTTCACATGACAACATTTAAGAGAACAGTATAGCTCCAGTTGCCTATTTGCCTTGAAAATCTTTGCCTCACAAAATATCAAAGGTTTGTGGTAGTCTCTAATCTTTAGGGTTTGTTTGTTTATTTATTTATTTTGAGACAGGGTCTATGTGGCGCAGGCTGGCCTCCAGGGATCTCCTGCCTCAGCCTCCAGAGTGCTGGGATTATAGATATGTATGCCACCACACCCAGCTAAGTACTGTTAGAATTTCTAAACCTCAATTAGGTGAGCCAGGCACGATGGTGCTCACCCATAGTCCCAGCACTAGGAGGCAGAGGCAGCAGGATCACTATAAATTCAAGGCCAGCCTGAATGACACAGCACAACCTTGACTCCAAAAACCTTGACTCCAATTAGGAAACAGAAATAAATTAGAGGAGGTATAAAGTCAAATCGCCTGGAACTGGACTGTCCAGCATGATAGCCACTGACCATATGGTTATTTAAATTTAAATAAACTAAAATTAAAATCCAGTTCCTAGGTCATAATAACTGCATTTCCAGTGCAACAGGGCCACATGTAGCTGGTGGCTGCCACAATGAAAAGCACGGAACATGAAAATCCCTTTCACTGCAGAAGGTTCCACTGGATATCACTGGCTAGAGGTTCATATATACAAAACAAAGCACAGCATCAATTATAATGAAAATGCTTAGTTTCAAAGTTCTAGAGACAAAAGGCTAGTCAGAGAAACAGCTGTTGGAAAGAAAATCTGGAGTACAAAGCACCTTCAATAGTTAGTAGATAATTTTCTATGTGAGTAGAGGCTTTTTTTTTTTTTTTTACAGGGTCTTTCTATGTAGCCCAGGCTGGCCTTGATTCATGATCCTTCTGCCTCCAGAGTCCTGGGATTATAGATACGCACCACCACACTTGGCCTATGACAGTCCCTTAATTCTAAAGTTTTAAATCGAAGTCTGGATATTGTAGAAATTCTCAGCTCAATTCCCTGTATTTTACAATTGTCTACATAATCTAACTTATTTATCAAATGAGTATGGACCCCAGTTTAGGTTTGGAATGATAAAAAGTGAATGTGTCCTTCTGATAATGCTTTGACCAACCAGCAATAGGCTACACCATTAACCTAATTCAACAGTCAGTTATTTGTAAAATAAGACCATATTTACTCTGTACCCTCGGAGAGTAATTACTTGCACATTTTTATGTACATGGACATTAATAGCTACATGAAGTTAATAATCATTTAACAGATGCACTATTATCATAAATCTGAACCAAGAACCTTCTACATCCATCCTAATATTTTGTTTTTCTTTTTCTTTTCTTTTTTTTTTTGGTACCGGGGATCAAACTTGAGTCCTTGCGCCTATGCAGCAGGCGGTGAAACCACTGAGCTAAATCCCCGGCCCCTTTTTTCTTTTTTTTGAGACAGGGTTTCATTTTGTAGTTCAAGCTGGCCTGGAACACAGTCTTCCTGCCTCAGCCTCCCAAGTGCTGGGATTACAGACGAGTGCCACCACATTCAACTCATCCATCCTAATGTGCTTAGAGAATTTACACAGGAATGTGCTATTATACCAAAGTAATGTCTGCTGGCAGCCAGTTGACAAACAGAAACTCATCAAATGGCAGTATGCTGTTACTGAGCTCTAATTTTATCAGTGTGTCAACAGCTGATTATGCTTTGGGCTGCTGAGTCACTTTAACCAAACTGAGAAGCCTGACCAAAATTTGCCATTTCCTCATTTATAATGGGGGACATCAAGGGCGTTGCATTGGAAAAAAGAAGTAAGAATAAAGATGGTCTGGTTTTGTGGATTTCAACTAAATTCTGGGAAAGTCACATAAAATATCCTTGCCCTGTATCCAGTTACATTATCTCTCTGGCCTACAGATGGCCCTCTTCTGTGGATGGTAATGGATTAAGAAGGCCTAGGGCCTGGAATTTAGCTCAGTGGTTCCAGCGCCTGCCATGCAAGGGCAAGGTCCCAAGTTTGATCCCTGGTACCAAAAAAAAGAAAAGAAAAGAAAAAAGGCCTACCAAATCTTTATTCTCCTTTTTCTAGGTTCCTAGCAAATTTCATCCTTGAAATATTCTGCTTTGAACAACCTATTAATAACTGGCCAGGTTATTGCTTCATGCTCAACTCTTATCAGTACACTCAGATTATAGCTTTTGACATTAATGCCATGACCAGATTATAATTTTGGCAGGCACCTTGAAATTGATTATATTCTCCACTCGGCATCTAAGTACAGATGATGGTTTGGTATCTGTTACTTTGCATAATGGTTGATCTCACCACTTTTTATCATTTCATTTCTCTCTAACCTTCCGGTCATCTTCTAGAGTCTAAGGAGAGAAGTAATCTTAAGAGTATGAAGACTGGTTTTCAAACTCTTTAACCCCCCCCCCTTTCATTAATATGTATTTGTGCTAAATAATACAAATATTCATCTTGGGGAACTGGTACATATACATAACACATCTTGATCCTTTTTACTTCCCCCTCCTCTCCCACTTTTTTCTTTTTGGTACCAAGGATCGAACTCAGGACCTTGCGCTTACAAGACGGGTGGTGGCACCACTGAGCTAAATCCCCAGCCCTCCCAAACTTTCTAAAAATCAGCATATACAAAAGTTAAAAATCTGTTATGAAACATGAACTCCTCGCCACACACCCACCTCTCTACAGCCATTGCAGTCTGTGGAAGAATCTGAAAAACCACCATCTTAGATCAACCTTTTATCTTAAAATTGAGGAGAGAGACCCAGAGACATGAACCAACTTGGAGATAGTAAGATAAGTGGAGCTGGCAGAGCTGGTCCATCACACTCCATGAAACAGGAGAAAAGCAGGCAAGAAAAGCCTGTCCAATCAATTCTTTCAGCATGAAGTTACCAGTATAAACATATTGAGATCATTTGTGTATGTACTAGATAAAAAGAATCTGCTATCAGGATAAACATGCTCAGGTTCTTTGTAAAAGGAATTTGTAAATAATAAACGGAATCGTTCTAAGAAATATTTAGACTTTTTCAGATATGAGACACAACATAGACTATCAGAAGTATAAGCTGGATTTGAGAAGCAGAAAAATGACAGTCAGATCAGGCTTACATCAGGCTTAAAAATGCTGATGTCATGTCTGTAATTGGGCCCTAATTTCAATTTGGCCTAATTCAAACCTTTAAACAATCTTGTTAATAATTGGCAAGATTACTGCTTCATGCTCCTCCCTATAGTACACTTAATTACACTTTTGGCATTAACGCCATGGACCAAGTTATAATTTCCGTGGGCACCTTATAATTTCAAATATAGCCCACTCTTCCTTTCTATATAAAGAGGCTTTATGCCCCAATTGCTACATGACCCAAATCAATAATTCAGCGTAGTTTGGGGATCCTAATTTTCACTACAGGACCAAATAACTTCAAGATGCTTTTGAGAACTTCAACCTTATGAAATAGTATTTTTTCAGGGAAAAGTCCTTATGGAAAGACTGTCAATTACATTCACAAGGAATAAGAAAGGCACTCTTAAGGTCCATCTTAAACCCGAAACTACAATGGAATAAAGGAAAGAGCAACAAACCCAAAAGATGCGGATAAATTGGATTATCTCTTAATGTGTTTTCTCATCAAAAAATTGACAAAATTGAACTTGGCGATCTACAGGTTTTCACTTCTTGGTCCACGGTGAAGGATCGTTCTAATTTGAAATAAAACTGATCTCCTTCACTATGGGGTAACTCATCCCAATTTTCTTCTCACCTTCTTGTAGAAGAAAATGGGGGGGGGGGGCTGTCCCAGATTGGTGTGGACTAATCCTTCGGTGAAGACCCAGGCCCTGACGGCCAGGCTCTGTAAAGAGCGCACCTCGTCTTGTAATCCGTTCTCAAACGGCTCCGCGTTCAAACAGTTTAGAATCCTGCCTGTTAATGCTACAGCTGAAAGAGGATCACAATCCACCTTGGTCATCTGCATTTCTGGGCTCACAACCGATCAGGGCAGTCCTTCGGCCTATCGTAAGCCCTCCCAGCTGCAGGGTAAAGCCCAACCCTCCTTCCTCCTGACCTTGGGGTGCCATCAGCTCCCGCCCAGCGTCCTCACAGGCACCTTAAGGGGATCCCTCTCCCGATCAGACATTTCTCCCATCCCCCCACCCGCCTAAATGTAGGACAGGGACGCTTAGGGCCAGCGTCTCTCTTCCGGAACAGGAGACCTCATTCCAAATAGGAAAAGATAGAGAAAAAGACGGAAAAGCTGGAGACCTGGACCCCGGAAAATCACTTCTCTGGCCACCTACAGGGGCCAGGTATCCGCTCACTCGCGCAGACCTCTCCTCTCCCCCTCAGACCGCAGAGCAGCCCAGACGCAATAGCGCAGGACCCAAGCTTCTCGGGGCCCCGCTTCGCGCACCCCTTCAGCTCCAACCCCAGATCTTCGGGTGCGGTGCCGGGGAAGAAACAGGTCCCTTCTCTCTTACCTGGGGCGGAGGCGCTCGCTCATCGCAGCTGGTGGAGAGGAGCGACGAGGCGCCGCTCCGCGCGAAGAGCGAAATGAGGGGCTTGTGTTCAGGCGGCCGCCACGCCCACCTCCTCGGCCCTTTGCTCTTGCCGCCGCACGGGTGGACTCGGCAGGCGGTGAATACCCCCTGCTCGGACCCGTACCACCGCTACTTCCGGCGTCTCCTCCGCGCCCCCCCATGTCACAACCGCCTTGGTACCACCCTCTTGCGCCTGCGCAGTCGCGCGAGGCCGGCCGCGCCGACCGTTAACCCCGCCTACAGGAAGAGGCTGGCTCAAAGGGGAAGGTGCGACTGGAGCTTCTGGAAGGGAGGCCCTCCTTGGGGGTGGCTCATGCGTTTGCCTGTTCACAGCCAAGGCGGGACACAGTGTAAAAGCCAATTCAGCCTTAAAATGATTTAAATTATGTCACATTAATTGATTCAAAATTTGAGTTAAATCCCTGTGAGGGAGCAATTGAAAATAACGAGGTGAGCCTTATCAGGCAGTGGTGCGGACATCCTGCCAGGGGTCCCAGGATGGGGGTTAGGAAGGCGCTTGTGGGTTGCCCCGGAGGAGAGGCTGGGGGTTGCATGGTTTTTCGGGTCTCCAGGGGTGCGGCTGCTGGCTGTACGGTGAGTTTCAGAGGGCGGGGGCATTTCCCACAGCCCACCTTCTAGGTCCCGAGAAGAGAGGGGGAGTGGAACGGCTAGTTTGGAGCCCTCCGCGGGGCTGCGGGGCGGCTGGCCCCGGCCAGGTTCCCTCATCCGGCCTTCCTGAGCTCAGACCTCTTTAAGCAAAAGGAAGACGGGGAAGGAGAAGAAAAAGTGTGTTGGCCGGAGCAGGAGATGAAAGTGAAGATTAGCAAAGCTGAGATTGCCTGGTGCCGGGAAGCTGGGGAAGTCTTAACTCGCTGCTTTCCGCAACATCGCCTGGAGCTGACTGCAGATGACCCACTTACTTGTGTTGGTTTCAGTACTGTTCCACATTTCGTCACTACGCGTTGCTGCCCAGTTATCTCTCATTGTGTCTTACACAGGCTGAAACGTTAACTCGGGAACGATGATCAGAAAGCGTGGGGATCCAAGAGAACCAACAGCAAAAATAGCATCCTCCTAGAGTAGCTTGGGTAAGAAAATAGACTTAAGATGTTACTGTGCAAATCTGTAGGTATCATTCCTGTAGGATTAAGTGTGCAGTGGAGTACTGTAAGTCAGAATCGTGGAACGGAGATAAAGTTAATAACGGAAGGGCCATGGACTGTCTAGAGTTGTAGATTAACCCCCTGGTGAGGGAGGTTCACTCATGCTAGGTAAGAGCTCTACCGCTTAGCTACATCCCCAGTGGGGGTTTTTTTGTTGTTGTTGTTTGGTTTGGGGTTTTTCGTTTGCTTGTATGTTTTCTCTCGTTGCTGAGGCAAAATACCCGGTACTCAAAGTTAAAGGGGAAGGGTTTTATTTAGCTCACAGTCGTAGAGATTTCAGTCCATGATTGGCTGACTCCAAGGCAGGGATGGTAAACAGGCGTGGAAGAGCAGAAACAACAGGGCATGCACAAGGTAGCAAGGGAAAACAGTTCATGGCAGCAAAAGACAGAAAAAAGCAACAAGGAACCTTAAGAGTGTCTTTCTGCCCCTTTCATGTTATTCAGGCTACTTAGGTCAGGTGGCACTCATGCCCTTAATCCTAGTGCCCTTGGATTTAGCCCCATCAATCTAGATTCAGCTACCTCTAAGATAGCCTATGACCACATGAGGCTTTGGGGGGACATCTAGACACAAACCATGGTTGGTTGGTTTGGGGTTTTTTGTTGTTGTTGTTGTTTTTTGTTTTTGTTTGTTTGAGGCATGGTCTGGCAAAGTTGCCCAACCTAGCTTCAAACTTGTGATCCTCCCAACTTAGCCTCCTGAATAACTGAGATTACAAATGTGCACCACTACACCTGGCTAGTTGTACTTTCGTAAGTAAATGGTCCATAGTTCTCATCATAATGTATATGTATACCTTCAAATAATAATCAGTGTGGACTATTAGCAAAAAACAGTTGTTTTGCATAAATTCCCTTAGGATAAAGGTGAATTGCTTGCTTTGGTAAATGGTTACAGTATTTTTTTGTACATGGGCTCAAAGCCTCCCTTTTGATCTGTTTAATAGTCAGGAGTTTCTCAGTTATGGCCATCTACAACTATAATACTTGCACCTTTATGGTTGGAGAAAGAATTCATTCAACAAATGTTATGTGCAGGGCTCAATGGTAGGTTTTGAGAATACAACTGTGCACAGAGTACATATGTTCCCTGCCCTCTAGAACTTTATAGAAACAGTAAGAAATATTTTAAGAGAAATAACTTTTAACTGAACTTTGGAATTAAACATTTTCTTTTCCCAACTCTTCATAGTAACAGCAGTACTAACAATACCTGAAATAAATGCTTTCGTGATGCATATATTTAACAGATATCAAACTAAACAAATTTGCTGATCGATTGTACTACAAACTACAAGTAAAATACTAGGGACTATGTTCCTGCATGTAATTATTTTATGTATATGTAGATACACGCATATTACTAATGTGCTGAATGTTAGCAGAGCTTCTCTTACACTTATCATAGTTTTATTATTCTTTTACCACAGTGGGATATTTCTTATATCACTTGGAAACCTCTGCTTTAATTGATAATCTTCGGATACTAGCCTGAGTTTATTCTTCACCACTCCATCCTTGAATGAAGTGTTTAAAGCTTTTTAAACATGAATATAATTTCTTTATATTCATGAACATTAGTCACTTGTCAGTGGGACAAAGTACATGATATACACAACTTAAAGGAGGAAAGATTTATTATGGCTCATGGTTTCAGAGGTTTTAGTCCATGGTTAACTGGCTCCAAGACAGAAACATCATAGTGGAGGGGCATGACAGTGGCAAGCTGCTCACATGACAGCCAAAAGCAGAAAAGGAGAGCAGGCAGAAAGCCAGAGCAAGAGACATGCCCTCCAAGAGCATGCCTCCAGTGAACCATTCCCTCCAGCTGAACCACACTTCGTAGTAGCCCATTTAGTTATTAATCATCAGTGTGTTGATCCATTGATGAGGTTAATGCCCTTCTGATCAAAACACCTTTTGAAAACCCTACCTCTGAGCACATGAGGGGAAATTTTAATTTGTAACATCCAGCTGGCTTGCTGTAACTTACATAGCAAACATTCTATTCTACCTGTTTTTTAGACATCTTTTCCTTGAACTAACCATTACCTTGTTAAAGTCTTTTTTGCTCTCGCTCACCTCATTAGAGATGTTGAAAATTTTTTGATTGTCTTTTCTATGACTGATTTCTAGAAGATTTTACATACCAAGCATAAATATAACTAGGAACATCCTAATATCAAGCTGTGTCTGTTGTTTTCTACCTCTGTATAAAAAGTATGGACTAAAACACATTTTAAAAATTTCATGTAACCTAGGTTGTTTGAAATGGACACAAAAGGTAAGACCCATACATAAAATATTGGTATGTACTGCTCATTATCTCGCATTTGCTTTTTCCAGGAAGAGGATGAGTGGTACTCGGCCCAAAATGGAAGTGTGTCCTTATTGTAAGAAGTCATTTAAACGATTAAAATCCCACTTGCCATACTGTAAGATGATAGGACCAACCATACCTACTGATCAAAAAATCTCTCAGTCAAAGCCATCTACCCATCCGCATACTAAAAAAGTAAAGGAGCTGATCAGAGACTTAACTGAAACCAGAGGGAAAGAGTTTAAGACAAAAAGTGAGGAAAGAAATGCCAAATTGAGATGGGACAAACCAGGACAAACAATTGCTTCCTGTCCACAACTAGATGTTGGCTTGGAAAGAGCAAGTAATACAAAGGCAGATAAAGACATCAAGGACCAAAATCAGCTCACCTTCAAAATGTTAAAACACACTGAACCAGTTACTTTCCAAGGAGTAACTAAAGCTCAGTTTTATGCATCAAATGACAATTCTAAAAGAGAACTTGCCAAAGATGTGCCTGCATCAGAGGAAAGTAAGTGTAATCCTTCGGAAACAGAAGCATTGTTACTGGCTGGCTCAATGGAACCTTCTCTGTTGAATCAGGATAGAAAATATTCCTCACCTGTACCTTATGATGTACAAGCCACATCTGTAAGTTTGAAACTGGACACAGTTGACCCCCAAAGACAGGGGCTTACTAGTGCTTACCGTCAGTCTCCAAGGAATCTCACTGATAAGGTTCAAAAATTAACAGTAGTATTGAGCAAGGAGAGAGATTCCAGAGGCAGAGGTCACCTTCCAGGAGTCCTCACTGGCATTGAAGATGCTAAGGCTCAAAAAAAGAACTCAGAATCACTCATGTTAGGCCTTCACATTACCCCTTTAGCTAAAATCCAGGTTGAGAATGAAGGAAAAAGACTTGCCGTTGGAGTAGAGGCTTGTGGGAGCAAAGGAAATGCAGAGAAAGGTATATTTGCAACAGAGATGCAGAAGTGGGATTCTGTGAGGGGTGGCTCTAAGAACTGCAGCTCTGGTGATTCAGCCACAGAAGAGAAATCAAGAGAAGAAGGTCCACTTTTAAACGTGTTCACTCCACAGGAGGCAGCTTACAGTGAGTTTCTTCCTGTATCGCAGTCAAATAATCAAAGTCCTCCCTATCTGGCTGTGGAATCTCTTCAAGAAGAGAAAGCACAATTCTGCAGTCATAATCAAGTCCCTGATGTGAAGTTATTAGGGGAAAGTAAGAAACAAGCATCTCTGGAGTACAAATCTGGCTGTCAGCCCCAGGCTTTGCATACTAGATGCCAGCAGTCTATGTATTCTGCCCAGCATCACCTTTCTCAAAGCACCTTCATTAATCATCTTGGTGCCACAGTCGGAAAGACCCTTCCTAGCTCCTTTGGGCTGGAGTGGTTTCCAGAGCTTTATTCTGGTTATCTTGGACTAGGAGTGTTGGCGGGGAAGCCTCATTATTGGAACTCAATGGCCCAGAAGCCTCAGCTAACTGGTCCTCCGTGGGGACGTCTCTCACGAGGTAAAGCTCAGTCTCGGGCCATCCAGCCCATCCACAATGCTTCGTACCTTTGGAATATGGGTCAAAATAATAATATTTTCATTCACTTAGCTTATTTTCATGTAGGCATTATGAAAGGCCACTAGACTTATAATTGTGAAAACATTACTTCTTGCTCCTGGGATCAGTACTTGGGGTTTAGTAGATGGGTATTCAAATTGAATAGACTTAAAGGACAAAGACTTCAAGATTCAATCAGGACCAGATTAGATAGGAAATAGGTTCCAGGTTTATGATAAAATACAGCATCTAGAAATTTAGAGTAGCAAAGAAGGTACAAGCAGAAGCTATTTGTGGTGGTGGATAGGACAGGGTTAAAACTGGCCAGGTAAGAAAGATCATCAAGACAGGTGGAATTGGAGCCTGAGGAGATAAACCAGTAAAGGTCAAGGACCAGAAATACAGAAATAGAGCATGTGGCAAAAAGGGTGTAGAAATCTGCACTGGAAGGACTAGGCCACAGAAATTAGGGACTCAAGAACAGAGCCAGAGATTAAGCCTTGAGACATGAAAGATTGGGTAAGAAGAACTTGGAGAGACTGAGCATTGAAACTGATCTCAGTTGTTGGTCTGTCTCTTCAGAAGTTTCTGTGCTCCTAGCAGATAGCTAAAATAAACGAATGAAAGAAGACCGAGGCCCAAGTAGGAGCCAGAAAGTTCCTGATAGGCATTTAAAGTACAGTAAGCTCACTTTTTTCTGCTGAATGTTATCTTTAGTTACTGAATTACCTCTCTATAATACATAAAGTTTAGTCATTTTGCTCACTAGTGAGCTTGGTGGGGAGATTTCACTTTTTTAAGAAAACTAGGGACGTAAAGTAGCACTTTTTCTCTCCTGTAGTGGTCATTGTTGCTTTCAAGCTTACTTTGACAAGATACCTATGAAAACTCAGAACTGGTTTGCTCCTGAAAAACTGATCTTACTTCTTCCTAGAGGGAAAAGTTTTTCCCTTTCTGGTATATTTTGCAAATGATCACATTCTCTAAGCCCCTTTTGTCTGTTCTCAAAAGCATTTTCCCCTTTTTAATTTTTCTATCCTGACTCTCAGCCCAGTACTGGGAATTGAACCTAGAGCCTTGGTGCTGAGCTACAACCCAACCTGTTTTTATTTTTTATTTTAAGATATGATCTTGCTATGTTGCCCAGGCTGGGCCCAAATTTGGCAGTCCTCCTGCCTCAACTACTCTGGAATCACAAATTCAGGGCCAGTCCAGGCAACTTAGACATTGTCTTAAGCTAAACTAAAAAATTTTAAAGGGCTGGTGATGTGGGTCAGTAATAGAGCACTTGCCTGGCATATATGAGGCCCTGTCTTTAATCCCTAGTACCTCATCCAAAAGGATTTCTTTGGTATTGTAATTATCCATTTCTTCTTCCTTTTTTTTTCCCTTTGTTTGATTTTTGTTTGGTGCTAGGAATTGGACCTAGGGCTTCTTGTATGCTAAGCATGCAGTCTGCCACTGTGCTACACACCCCCATCCACTGCAGTTATTCTTTTCCAGTGGTTTTCAACATGGATGCATATTAAGGAAAGAGTATTGATAGCTAAAGCTACGTTTTCTTCAACTCCCTCAGTAGATACAGGTTTACCACACATGAGCCTAACATCTAGAGTGTTTTTTGCAAAGTTGTAGTCTCCAGGTCAAGGTTCTCCACGTGAAACACAGACTTGGTTATTGTAACATTTGTGTTGCTGTGCAGTTTTCAGAGTGCGTCCATCTCTGTTTTGCAAATAATAAAACAGGCAGAGAGAGTATAAGTGACTTGTCCAGGGTCATGTTGCCAGTAAGTGGTAGAATTGTGAGTAGAGCCTAGTCTCCTGGGGCCTAGCTCGACCATTTTCAACTAAACCAGACTGTAGAAAGTACATTGTAGGGCCAGGGATTTAGCTCAGTGGTTCCACCGCCTGCCTCGCAAGCTAAGGACCCAAGTTCGATCCCCGGTACCAAAAAAAAAGAAAGTACATTGTAATGGGAAACAGGTGTTTGTTACAGGGCCCTACTTGAGTTTTTCAGTTGCTTACCCACATGCTAATTTTTTTTTTTGGTACTGGGGATTGAACTCTGGACCTTGCGCTTGCAAGGCAGGGGGCGGAACCGCTGAGCTGAATCCCCGGCCCCACACATACTAATTGCATGATAAATCTTTCTAGCAAATAGAAGGACTGCTTTATTTTCTGTTCTTTTATAGTGCTAAGAAGTATCCTTGATACATCCACTTTTTATTTTGTCCATTGTATAGTCTTTGATTTAATACTTATGAAAGCCCTGAGGGGATACTACTGCCTCACACTCCTGTATAAGAGGAACCTGAGCCTCAGACACCTGAAGTGACTTGTTCACATTCATGTAGTAAGTGACAGTCAAGATTCAAATCCAGGCCCAGCTGACTCTTCTGTGATCTTTAAATTCTACCTGTGGAGTAGTGGTCAGTATCTTATTTGATATGTAATTTCAATTCATTTCACTTTAATGGATCCCAAGATGACAGTAATAAGTGATACAGTAGCTTATAACATCAAATCACCAGTTTCATGCAATAGAATATGGGGGACAAATAGAATTTTTCCTTCAACAAGAATTAACTCCTAAATAGGGACTAGAAACTACTTTGTTCTTTCATTGCTTATAGTCTGTACCTAGTATTGAGATTAGATTGGTACTCTGTATCAGTCAGGTCTGGTCATCATAGGGTCTCTGCCTCCATTAACTGAGAAGGCACTGGAAGTTGGATCTAGAATTAATGTTCAGACTTTAGTGCTACTAATGAATGGACAAAAGATGCTAGAGAGAGAGACCCTACAACAGTGGTGGTGAACGTATGGCATGCATGCCGTAGCAGGATATTTCTATCATTGAAAGCTCTAAAATGTTTGCCATCACTGCCCTAGAATATCAGTTAAGGTCAAGATGTAGACCCTTGGCTGATCAAGGATCAAGGGCCACCTAAAGCCATAATAATTGAAAGGTAGTGTCCTTATCTCCTCAGAAATCTGTGATTTCACTAGGAAATGACTACCCCTAGAGAATATAGATTAAAATTGAACTTTTGTGGAGTCTTAGGCAGAAGAGAATGAGCTGTGCCCTCCCTTGCTTAGACCAGATTTTATAGGTCATTTGCCTTCCTCCTCTCAGGAAGCCAGCTCATTCTTTCAATGCTTAAAAACAGGACCGGTGGGCACTAGTCATTGAGTTTACTGTCAGGCTTACTTAGGTATTTTCAGGTCATTTTTATACTAGCCTTGGCAGATTGGTGTTATCTCCTCTTAGAGATGAGGGCCTTGAGTTTCAGAGAGGAAAAATCACTTCCTGACATCAATTTCAGTTAGCAGCACCTCACATTACCTGTTAGTTATTGCCTTGCTTGTCCAAGAAGGGATTCATTTCTTGGACTATGGGCTTCAGGTGTTTCCTACATCCCAGGAGCTTGTCCTCATCCATCAGGGCAACTTAAGTGAAATGAGTCCAGCCCACCAAATGAGATGGCTCCCAGGCTGTAAGAGATTATCTTTTCTGTTTGTTTGTTTTTTGAAACAATCTCACCATGTAGTCCAGGCTAGCCTCAAACTCATGATCTTCCTACCTCAGCCTCCTGAGTGCTGGCACAAAAGACTCTCTTGACATTTGGATGAAACTGTAGAGCCAAAAGCTGTCCTCCTTTTAAAAGGGGATGGGGTTATGTTTTAGTAGCCAAAAATAATAGGAAGTGCCAAAGCAGACCAGTGAGGAGGCCACTGAGGCTGAGTTTAAGCAACCAAGAATAAGAACTTAAGCTGAGAGTGATGGCATAGGGTTGTGATTCCAGCACCCTGGTAGGCTGAGGCAGGAGGATTGCAAGTTCAAGCCCAGCTTGGGCAATTTAGTGACCTAGTAAGACCTTGTCTCAAAATTTTTAAAAAGTTGGGGATGTAGCTCAGTGTGAATGCCCCGGATTCAATCCCCAGTATGGCAAAACAACAAGAAAATGAGAGTCAAAATTTACGTATCAAAAGATTCAGTGTTTTTAGGGCCAGGGATTTAGCTCAGTGGCTCTCCGCCTGTCTGGAAAGCTCAAGGTCCCAAGTTTGATCCCTGGTACCAAAAAGAAAAAAAGATTCAATGTTTTTAGCAGTAGAAGTTGGCATTCATTGTGCAAGTGAAGTCTGTCAGAACCCCCATAGCTTTGAGACATTCAGGGCTAAAAGTTGTCAGAGCCTTTGCAGAATTCTAGGTGCTTACTTCAGCTTCTGAGACTCAAAATTTAAGAGATCTATGTCCTTGCTTTCCAAATCTGGGCAATTAATTTCAATCTCCCCAAATTTATTTATTGTTTTTATGGTGCATTTTAAAGATTCCAAGGCATCCCTCAGAGGCTGATTCCAGAGATAGGTCCAGGAATTACTTTTCAGATAGTCCCTAGATGCTTCTGAAGAGCAGCTGCATTTGAGAAGACTAATAGGGGGATGACTTTGAAGCAGGCACCTCAGGCCCAGCAGGGGATGTTCCCAAACAAATAGGGGAGAGAAAGGGTGGTTTGAAACAGACCTGGTTCATCGAACTGCAGAAAGCAAAACTTGGCTGATGACCTTACCCAAAGATAAAGTGAGAAACTGGAAGGGTCAAGACTTTTTTAACAGTCTAGGAAATAGCTCAATAAAAACTATTCCTTTGATGCTCAAATGAGATTTCTGTCAATAGGGTAGCCATAGAGAAGGGGCTCCTTCTAGTTACAATTAAGAGTGAGCAGGTTTATGACAAGCCTGGACTAAGCCCACTGCCAGCCAGGGATTCTGGGAAGAGAATGCTTTAGATCACAGAGCACAGCTTCAGGTGTCAGCCAAAATAGAAACACGAGTTTTGTACAGCAGGGGAAGGGGGAGTCAGGTTGCACATCTGGGATTCAGACTACACAGGAGGGACACGAGAAAGTTTAGGGATGTAGAGGTTGCATGAGAATGGAATTGTATCAGAGAATGGAGCCATTGTGTGGAGGTTTAACCTCCGGAGTAGAGTTCACGATATGAGGACTTTGATACTGGCAGGTGAAAACAAGGCAGTGTCCAGGAGATGAGGCAGCAGAGGGTAGGCAATGATGGTATCAGCAGTCCTGGGCGCACAGTGGGAACCTAGGCAGGCTGTAAGGGACATAGCCCAGAACCAGTGTGCCTGGGTGGCAGGCAAGGAAAACATGGAAATGGCTACTTCAGGCCTATGGGAACCTCTGCCCTGCTTCTTGTATGATCCTAGGTCGGGCCCTGACCTGGTGTCATTCGCGTAAGTTTACCTGAACCTGTAAGTGGGAATTAAAAAACCCCGCTGACTTAAGAAAGATGACAAGTTCAAGGAGCCATAAGGTTCCTGACACTGCTGATAAGGTAGTTTCACAGTCGCAGGTTTCATGAGTTACTTGTTTAACTGTTAAGAGGCCAACCTTCACCTTTCAAGAGCTGATCTATGTAATGTTTTGGAAATCAGCACAGTTCATTGTTATGTAATATAATGATCGTTTGGTTAGTGTTTTTACAGCCACAGAAACTTTTATCACACCTGCTGAACATGTCAACAGTAATGGCTTAAGTTATTGTTTTTTCCAACAAGCCAAACCAAGACCAGAGAACCATTGATAATAGAGCTTACTTGCTTGTCATCAAAGGTTGAAAAAAATCAGAGATGGGCCCAGGGATTTAGCTCGGTTCCACTGCCTGTCTCACAAGCACAAGGTCCCGAGTTAGATTCCCGGTACCAAAAAAAAAGAAAATAATCAGGGAGATTAGTTTTACCCCCTTTTAGAGATGAGGAACCAGAGTCCCCCAGTCCCAAAAGCAAACATAAAAGTGAATTCACATCCCCCTCTGCCCCCCCCAGTACTGGGGATTGAATTCAGGGCCTTTGGACTGAGCTATATCTCCCAGCTCTTTTACATTTTTTACTTTGAGCCTGGCAAGCGCAAGGTTCTGAGTTTGATCCCCAGTAGCCAAAGGAAAAAAAATCTTTTTTTTTTTTTTTTTTACTTTGAGACACAGGGCATTACTAAATTGTTTGGGCTGCACTTGAACTTGACATTCTCTTCCCTTAGTCTCCAAAATGCTGGGCTTAACAGGTGAACACCCGTCACACTTGGCTAAGAATTTCATTTCAGACTTGGGTTCCATCAACAAGATAACTCATTCTTTCTATATGCAAATATTCTTTTTTGATACTGGGGATCGAACTCGGATCCTTGCACTTGTGCAGCAGGGGGTGAAACCGCTGAGCTAAATCCCCAGCCCTCTATATGCAAATTTTCTAATTTTTTTTTTTTTAATTTCAAATCTAGAAGACTGGTGCCAAGCATTTCAGATGAAGGGTACTCAGCCTGAAGTGAAAGTCATGCTTTTTGCCAAAATGTTTCGCAGCTGGTAGAACTTATGTGTAATTCATTTGGTTAAGCATGTGCACACAGATCAGATGATCTGAACAGTGTATTCATTAATCAGAAATAAATACCGGGTCCTGGTTGCCAAGGGCTCCCTCAGTCTCACTGTCAACACTTAGTTAAAGTTCAGTGTAGAGATCGTAATCCCCGTTTAGAATATACTTTTCTTGAAGCTTAGCAATAGGAAGCGTCCTTACTGAATGTTGGGGAAGGAGGTGAATTTATGTGAACTATCACAGTGACCACTGTTTGGAACCTTAGTTCCTTTGGTGGAAAGAAGCTTGACTGACCTAAGGATTTGGGAACCCCCAACCAGGCTTACAACCTCCAGTGTCCCTCTAGTGAGGCTCTTGGAAGCTGTGCAGAAAGGTGAGGCTGGAGTTACTGACAGTTGGGTCCTGTTGCTGGCTCCAGGCATTTGGAGAACCTTCTCTTACCATAGGCTGTTAAAAGTGAGGAGAAGGAAAAGAGAAGAATAATGGTTGTTGTCTTCTGTTTGTTTTCATTTTGTAGTTGAGCATAATTAAAAGCACCAAAGCCAATATAGCAGCATCTACCATTTGTTGGGCAACTTTTCATTTTTAAGCCCCACCCCTGCCTGTCCCGCCACCTGCCCATGTTGATCATGCCTCCCAAAGCCAGGAGGATGCTAAACCTCAGTTTAACCAATTGAATTCATCTACCCCTCTAAAGATTTTTAACTCACCTCCCAAATTCAAGAATAAGTAATTTGAATTTGTTAAAAGTCTTCTTGATTCTAGCCTCTTCATCACGTAAAATATACCTCTCGAGTGTGTGCGTATATTCTCTGAGTTAGAATCCCATCACCCAAGCTACGTGGGATAACTTCAGGAACGCAGATGATGGCTACATTCTGGGTCACTGTAACAATGAGACACATTTCCTTTTGGACAGGCTGGATCCGGTGCAGCACCACCCTGAAGAAGAGTGGAGTTGGTAGCATCACAATGCTCTTTACCGGATACTTCACCCTGTGCTGTAGCTGGAGCTTCAGGCATCTGAGTAAGCCTTTCTACATTTTTAGCCTAAATTACAGGTCACATCCCATTACAGGGACTCCAAGGGATTCTCCGAATGGCTTTTCTTATTAGTTCTGCAATGTCTGACATGACCTAGTGAATGAACTATTACCTGGGGCTCTGGGAGTTTTATTAGAGGTTTTGTTCATAATAGGCTTTAGAAGATTTGACTGGAATTTACATAATTGCTCTTGTCCTCTATTTTATATTATCACTGGTGACAGTGATACTGAACAGCTTTGTACCACAAGAGGAGGAACAGAACACTGCTGTCATTCATTAATGTGCTCAGACTTACAGCTGCCTTAATCTGCTTCTGACAGTTAAAGCAAACACCCTTCTGATTCCAAGATTCAGCTTGCACTAGGTCTTAACCAGAAGGAAAATGCCTGAATTTAATGTTTTAGTTTAAGATAATGTTTAAGTATCATATTATAAAAACAGATCTTAATTTTTTTAAAAGTAGTTTATAGGAAGCTATCAAAAAATTCCAGTGTTTTCCTTTTTTTTTTTTAATATTTTCCTTTTTGCAGAGCTAGAGATCAAACCCAGGACCTCTGCACTGAGTTACATCCCTAGTGCTTTTTTTATTTTTTTATTTTGAGACAGGGTCTTGCCAAGTTGTTCAGGCTAGACTGAAACTTGAAATCCTCCTGCCTCGGCCTCCCAGGGTACTGGGATTACAGGCCTGTGCCACCCTGCCTGGCTTTCCACAGTTTAGAAAGAAAACATTTGGACACTCTAAGATGAAAACTTTCAGTGCAAAAGGGTAGTATAGCCTTGAAGAGTAAAGGCCAAAATAATTCATAAACTGGATAAGTCTTTTTTTAAAAAAATCAAGATTGGAGCCAGATGTGGTGACGCATGGCTGTAATCCCAGCACTCGGGAGGCTGAGGCATGAGCTTTACTGCAAGTTCAAGGCCAGCCTAGGCTACATAGTGAGTTCAAGGCCAGCCTGAACTACATAGTGAAACCCTGTCTCAAAAAACAAATGGGGCCGGGGATTTAGCTCAGTGGCACCATGTCTGCCTTGCAGACACAAGGTCCTGAGTTCAATCCCCAGTACTGGAAAAAAAAAAATAGAAAAAAAGACAGAGGGCTAAAAAACAAACAAACAAAAAGATTAGCTATTTTTGGTTAGAATCATGCTAGGTGAATAGGAGGGCAGATCACCCAGCAGGAATGGGGTCCCACCAACCCCTGTGTCCTGAGTTGTAAGGCCTAGCCGCCCACCAGCTCTTGTGTAAGACACCTAGCCTTTGGTGAAATTGGAGTCGATACATGAATGGAGAGTCCCAAAAGCAAGAGTCATTTCTTCCAGAGAAAAGGGCTTCCCTTAGGATACCACTCCAAAAGGGATTATTTACTGATAGTTGGTATTTTTAAGTAGATGTTTGATAGACATAGTGCCGGGGATTTAGCTGAGTGGTTCTGCCACCTGCCTTGCAAGCGCAAGGTCCCGAGTTTGATCTCTGGTACCAAAAAAAAAAAAAAGAAAGAAACAGTGACATTGTATTTTTCACATCTCTAATTTGAAGCTGAAGTGAAACAGAAACTTCTTGTGCCCAAGACTATTTCTCAGTTTATAAAACAAGAATATACTAGTTGAGGAGGAGGGGCTTCAGCCCTAGAGTGCCTGCCTAGCGTGCCTGAGGCCCCGGGTTCAATCCTTAGCACCACCAGGGGAAAAAAATTTGCCAGATGTTGACAGTTTCTTAGATAGTTCCCCCAAATCAATAAATGTATAAGGAAGGGATCTGTAGGGGCAAAAGGTAGAAACAGTCAGTAAAAGTGGCCACTTGGATCCTTACATTGGTCTCTGTCCAAAGAGCTGCATCGCTGGCATAAGTAATACTGACCCGGACGCCATATAAGTAAAGCTCTGGACCCACAAGGGCAGCATGGCGGAGACAGCAGCAGTGCCCGTTGAGTACATTTGTACTGGGACAAAGCAAGGGTGTGCAAAAAATAAGCACTGGCATCTAAAACAGTTACATAGAAAGTAAATTTTTTATTAAGGTGAACAGATCTGAGTCTGTGTGGGTGTTTCTTTGGCCTGCTCTCAAAAATGACTAATAGTTACTGGAAAACAACAGGTTTGTTTAATCTACAATTGTTATTCAAGCTTAGGTATGAAGATGATAAATGTCCCATTTAAACTAAGAAACTGTTTCTCAACTTTCATGGAAAACTAGTAACTTTAAGCCTTTAAATTTTAATCTTTCTCCTGAGCTGGGTGTGGTGGCACATGCCTGCAATCCCAGCCCTTGGGGAACTGAGGCAGGAGGATCACTGTGAGTTTGAGGCCAGCTTGGGCTACATAGTGAATTAAGGCCAGAAAAAAAAGTTTTTTTAAATCTTTCTCCCTAAAATTTTAAATCTTAATCTGCAATCAAGTTTAAAGCTTTCTCCCTAAAATTGTTCTCTAAATGTGGTGTTTTACCATTGGTCTATACAAGATACTAGATTTCATACATACTGTGACAGGATAGTACCCAAATTGGCAGAATATGAGCTTACACAAGGCCTTTCCCCTTGCCCTTACGCAGATACTGACAGATGTTAGCAATGAAAGCAGACTGAGGGGCAGGTGGCAGAGGGGAGAAACCCTTAAAAACATTCCTACACATGTTTTTCTACACTGATTAAAATGAAGTGGCACACCAAGCAGAATGTTAAGGTGCCTTAGGTCTTCAGTGAGCATAATAGTGGGCATGTGGTTTATCAACTCTTCCTGGGAACTTCAGAAACCCACCCCATCCCTTCTCTTGAATGTTCCTGAATGACTGAGGAATTCCTCCCAGTTTCTCAGGGCTGGTTTGGGATGATGGGTTTTCTGGGCCTCTTCTGTCTATCAAAGTACTCATTATCTTTCAGATTTTTTGACCTTGGCCTTGGCTCCCCAGAGAGTAACATGGACACTTGAGAGAAAGCTTTGAGAAGCTTTTGCTAGGCACCGTAGATGGAAAGCAGTTTCTCCAAACCCATTTCCAACAAGGATTGGTTATCACCCTCACACAGGCACATGTACTGTGTCTCTGTCAACTTATTCTCATGCCAGAACAACACAGGTCAGCCCCGCCTCCTTCAGAACCACAAGGAAGCAGGCTAAGGCCAATGTGTATTGTGCATTGCTGCTTTCTGTCTTCTTTGAACTTGGATTCTGGGTCAGCTACATCTCTCTCTCCTAGTCCCAGTCCCCTGGCCTCCCTAAGTAGCCCTAGTGGGAGCAAGTGAAATCTGCAACAAATTCTCATGGTTAGGGAAAAGGTATTCAGAAGTATCCCCTTGTAAGCTGGAATTCTTCCTATGGAAAAATGAAGGAAAGAATAGTACATTTAGTTGTTTTAGTTCTACTAAGAACTTCATTGGTACTCAAAAAATAATCTTTTTGTTTTTGAAAGGACTTCATGACCATTTTCTGTAAAGTGCTCTGTCACACACTCACAGACACACACACACGCGCGCGCGCGCGCGCACACCTACCCAGTAGGGATTGAGGCTAGGCCCTTTGCACTGGGCTGCATCCCCAGCACCTTTTTAGATTTTTGAGATAGTCTTGCTGGTTGGCTAAGTTGTGAACTTCCTGCCTCTGCTTTCCAGAAGCTGGGGTTATAGGAGTATCCCACCAGCCTGGCTGGGTGCCTCCCTTGAAATGAGACACATAGGGTTTCTCCCCATACCTCCCCATCTGTCTTCAAGGTCAGAAGCTCTCAGGGTAGAAGCTCAGTGAGAATGACCTCTTGACGACGTCAGTCCTTCCCGGTCCCCTCAGCAAGGGTCAGCAGATGACTGCAGCCCACAGGCCATACCCCGCCCCCTGCCTGTCGCAGATAAAGTCTTGGAAGAACACATCTCCTTATTCAGTGCGGTGTGGTCTGTGATTTCCACACCACAGCAGCGGAGTTGAGTAGTTGGAACTGAGCCAGTGCCCCAGAAAGTGAGACACTGACTCTGGCCCTTTACAGAGAAGGTGTGCTGGCCCCTGCCCTGGAGGAATGTGCTGTCTCCATGTGTCATGCGCTAGAGTGAGGAAGACAGCTAGGCGTCGCTGCTCTAAAACAGTCAGGTAGAAGCCTTTCTTGACTTGTCCTGTCCACTCTAGTATATTAGTGCTTTGTGTTGGCCCGGAACCACCCGTAACGTGTAAGTGCAGAGGTAGCACAAAGGGGTAGCTTGTGCCCCCCCATTAACCTAGCTGGATGTGGTGGTGCACACCTGTAACCCCAACACTCAGGAGGCTGAGGCAGGAGGACTGCCACAGGTTCAGGCAAGGCCAGCCTATATTATATAGTGAGATCCTGTCTCAAAAAAAAAACTGAAAAAAATCAGAATGCTAAAACATAATAGAAAACTTTAATCGCAGTAAATATTCTGTACCCCTGAAAATTTGTTACTTGAAGAAAACGACTACTTAATGATCCACCAGTCCTAAAGAGATATCATATTGCCAAGTTTAAGACAAAGGTGAGAGTTTAAGAAGAGGGAGTTTGGGGCCAGGCTTGTGTAATCCCAGCTACTCAGGAGGCTGAGACAAAGGGGAAATCATAAGTTCAGGGCCAGCCTGGGCAACTTATTGAGACCCTGTCTCAAAAAGGGATGGGTGGGGATATAGCTCAGTCCTCTGAGTTCAATCCCTAGTGACCCCCCTCCCCAGGCATGAGGAAGCACACCTGTTCTCTCCAGTTTGCAATGAGGGTATAAGCTCGCCTCATGAAAGAACATTTTTTCGTCAGTGCAAGCCTCCCACCAAGCCACTTGCATAGCCATCACAGTCCTGTACCGGGTCTGGCAGATGAACGGCTTCATCCAGAAAGCCCAATTTCTTCTCTACACTGGAGTGGTAACAAGTGACAGGAGTGCTGCCTGCAGAAGCCAGTGTGCCTCAGGTGGTGAGGCAGTGCAGTTGCTCTTCATGAAGTTGAGGGAAAAGAAGAATGCCTTTAACATAATTTGCCTTTTAAACAGTCTTCTTAATTTTCTCTCAAAATCTGTTCTCTCCCTTCTGTGGCATTGGCGGGAGCTTCTTTGGGTAAGCGGCAATGCTAAGATTTTGCTTGCAGGGCGGCAGCTTGAACTCCTCCTGGGCAAGTCTTCCAGCAGTCTGCCTAGAAATTCAGCATGAGACTCCCTGCCAGCAATCCAGGCCACCCTCCCATCATCACGTAGAAGAGTTCTGACATCTTCGTCCTTGACAAGACTGCTGTTAAAAGTTGGAAATATTCTAGGAGGCTGAGACAGGAGCATTACAAGTTTGAGCCCAGACTGGGTAACTTAGCAAGACCCTGTCCCAAAATTTGCAGAATGGTTGAGGATGTAGCTCACTGTGAAGGCCATGGGTTCAGTCCTCAAGACTGCAGAGAGAGAAATAAAGGAAGAGGGCATGCCTTACTTAGCCTCCAGCCAAACTCACATGTGACTGGATAAACCCTATGCTGCCTAGTTTTGCTTAATCCTGAGTAATGCTCGAAATACAGAGATTGCAAGGAGAGTGTTTTTCTAAACCTTAAAATACTCAGCTGTTAGGGCCACAGTGCATACCTGTAATCCCAGCTGCTTGGGAAGCTGAGATGGAGTGATTACAAGTTCAAGGCCAGCGTGGGCAACTTAGTAAGACCTTGTCTCAAGGTAACATTTTAAAAAGGGTGAGGATATAGGTCAGCTGTAGAGCACATGCTTAATATGTATGAGGCCTACGATTTCCATCTCTACCAAAAAAAGAAAATGAAAAATCATTTTGTTATATTATCCACAGATATTCTCTACTTTATGGAAAAACTATACATTATTATTGTCACTGTTCATAATAAAAGTATTTTTAAAAATAAATATACTCTCCGAGCTGATGATTTGTCTCTTCTAAACCTCACCTGTGAAGTGGTGTGTGTGTCCCTGGGGCAGGTCACCTAGCTCCCGAGATGTGCCTTTTTCTGGACTGAAAATTGGGTGGACTCGCACCCACCTTGAGAGACTTGACGCATCTTTTCATTCCACGCTGCTATTCTGCATCCAGGACAAGCAGCGGCCCCACTGCCATGCACACTGGTGTCCAGCTCACATTGGGCTCTCGTGTGCCAGTGCTCCGCCAGGTGTGTGCCTTCTCATATCATCCGTGCCACATATCATCCTGTGGCCAGGGGCTCAGGTTCCAGAATGAAGCGTGCGTTGGAGGAGGTTAAGTACTTTACCTACATAGCAGGGTGCTGTTGGCACATGGCAGCCCAGGATGGTTTTGAGTGGCATTAGGCCCCCAAGTCTGACTCTGGGTCTGCATCTTTTCACAGGGCCTTACCCCTGACCTTAAGCCTGCCAAAGGTACACACTCATCCTGCCTTACGCCTCCTATCTCCATTCCCAAAATCAATTTAGCCACCACCCTCCTTTCCCGGTGGACTAAATGACATTGGGGTTTGATTTAGCAGCAGTGGCATAGTTCACATTAAACATTCCCTATTGCTATCTTACCTCTGGATAAGCATTTTTTGGTACCATCGAGTGTCCCATGATTCCCCATATAAGGCACAGAATATATTCTCACATTTAAGTAAGCCATACAGGGAAGTAGCTGTTGTGCCAAAGAAGCCATTTGGTTTACTTGCCAGTCTATAGCAGCACTTGAGGCTGAATGTACCGGATCTGCTGCATGTGACGGGAGCCAGCTTGAGGCGCATGGAGCCAAGCAGTGGTGTATTTACCACCCACTTGGGCTTTTACTTTCAATGCACTTTGCCCCCCAGTCTGATGGCTAACTCTTTCCTCCCATAGTCAGTCTCCCTCTGATCCTGTGGTATCTTCAGTGGCTTGTTCACCTGCTGCCTCTGTACCTCAGTCTAGTTAAGCTGCCAGTGTGCCTTCTTGGAAACATTGCAAACAATCTCATGGTGTGGCCGCTGGGTACCTTCACTAGGAGAGCTTACAGTTCCCCAGACCACAGGTTAGTTTTTGGTAACTCGCACCAGTTGAGTAGGCCTATTTTTCAACACTACAAGAGCAAATGTTAATGGCATGACTACAAAAGAAAAATCCTAAATTGTCTAGGGAACTATAGGAGATAGGTGGCTTTCTGAAGAATTTAATGGTTCCACTCATAAATGAAGGTTATTTTCGGCCTAAAAAGACCTCGAGATTCAAGCCCAACCTTAGAGTTGCAGAGAACAAGGAAGGCCCTGGGCTCTCAAAAGCCCAGAAAGGGGCCGGGGATTGAGCTCAGTGGTTCCAGCACCTGCCTCGAAAGCACAAGGTTCGGAGTTTGATCCCCAGTACCAAAAAACAAAACAAAAGCCCAGAAAGTCAAATGCACAAGAAAGCTTTAGCTGTAGTCCTCATTATTCTTTTGCAGAATAGATAAATCAAAGCTCAGAAGAATTTAGTCTGTCTCATGAAGGTATAAAATACGGTCTTTTTTTCTTCCTGATAAATCAGAAGGTAGCAAAAAAAGGAAACCAGGCACTACATTTCCTTCTTTACTAAACTACCCCCAAGCTGTAATCTTAAGCAGTTATACTCTGAATGACTTAGAAAATTGATAAGCAGCAAATAGCAAGAAGATGTTTGAGTTATTAGCTTTTTAACCACTGAGCAGTCCAGTTAAATATAGGATGACCAAAAGTTGCATATTTTTGTTAATTTTTTAAAAACAATATAACAGGAAATATAACAACAATTTTATCAAATTTCAGAACAAGAGTTGATGTTGAAATGACACCTGCCCAGGTGACACTGGGGATAGTACATAAACATACTGCCCAAGCGATGCTTGGGGTAAACTGAAGTGGCTGAGGAAAGTCTTGTGTGGCAGAAGATGTTGCCAGGTTTAGGTTGTTGAGATTCCATGTTGTGATATTTTGCCACCAATAGATATCCCCTTGTTAATTCATATTTTCTCCCCTACCCCTTCTTCATAATACTGAGGAGCCCTACTACTGAGCTACATCCCAGCTCTTTTATTTTGAGACAGGTCTCTAAATTGTCCAAGTTGACCTCAAACTTGTGGCCACTGGGATTACAGATGTGCACCACTGAGCCCAGATGCCCTCATTCTGTCTCCATTCATACATATTCCTGTAGCCTGATACAACTTGCTTCCTGCTGCACAGAGGTCCGCATTAATTTTGCCCTGTCTGCTTCCCTCGCCTGTAATACAGGCCCTGCTCTTGAGCTCGAGCCTCAGGGGGAGAACGGGTGTTCCTGGGCCTTATCTGATGGTGGAGAAGAAGATGGTCTGTCAGGGAGGGGGGCTTCTGAATTTCTGCAGGAGGAGCTGAATCCCACGGCCTGTTGACAAGCTGCAGATAAAGTCACAAGGAGGCACCCGCAGAGACCCCTGTGTAAGTGTGGCAGTTACATGGAGGCCGGGTTCCCGGTCACACCTGCAGTCTCAGACCAGGTCTCCAAATGCCATTTTAATTGCTAGGAACACACACACACACACACACACACAACCCTTTGATAAAAGAAATGAGCTCATAGCCTGGTGTGGTGCTAATACACCTATAGTCCCAGCTACTTGGGGGCATGAGGCAGGAGAATCACAAGTTCAAGGCCAGCCTATGCAACATAGGCTGAATCTCAAACTGAAAAATAGGGCTGAGGATGTAGCTCAGCCTAGGTTCAATCCCCAGTGCTGGGGGGAAATTTTTTTTAAATGGGCTGATAAATTCCCCCAGAGTTATCACTGACAGGCTACATCTCATTTTCTATCCAATGCCTCACTGAGAATCCGGTGCTACCTTCCTTCCCCCAAACTCTCAGTAGCTTTCTTGAGCTACACTTTTATTTGACCTCTGTCAAACTTAAATGAAATTCTAACATCAGTTTCCTAGACCATGGGTCAGCAAACTTAGTAGAAGACCAAATAGTAAACATTTCAGACTGCAGGTCACCAGCTATCTGTCAGTATACGCTCCTGAACAGCCATTGGCAATGTGTAAACGGTCATAGTGCATCTTCTGTTTCTGTAACAGAACACCAAGACTGGGTGATTTATAAAGAAATGAAGTTTGTTTATCTCATACTTCTAGAGGCTGAAGTCCAAGATTGGATGGCTATGTTGGCTTCACTTCTGGTGAGGGCCTCAAGCTGCGCCATGCATGGTGGAAAAACAAAAGGCAAGGTGCATGCAATGAAAGGTCCGATGGTGAAAAAGAGGAAGCCAAATACACTATGACAAGCTGCTCTCACAAAAGAAGAGCTGGATCCCAAGAAAGCATTAATCTATTCCACTGCCATGATCCAGGAACCTCCCACTGGGCCCCACCTTCAGCACTGCCACACTGAGGAACTGAACCCTTCACATGAGTTTTGGTGGGGACAAACCATATTTAAACCATCTCAGGTGGCATGTAAATGATGCTCATGACCGCTCCAATAATAATCTTACAAGCCTGGCAATGATAATTTTCCCATGTCACAAAACATTGTGATCCCTCCCCCCAGTATTTCGAGGTGTTTTGTTTTGTTTTGGTACCGGGGATCAAACTCGGGACCTTGTGCTTGCAAGGCAGGCGGCAGAACCCCTGAGCTAAATCCCCGGCCTTGGTTTGGTTTTTGACACAATGTTCACTAACTTGCCAGGACTTGCCTTGAACTCATGATCTCCCTGCTTAGCCCTCCCAAGTGCTGGGACTACAGGTGTGCACCACCATGCCTACCTCCCCTCAATATTTAAAAAAGAATTCTTGGGCTGGGGATTTAGCTCAGTGGTTCTTGCGCCTGCCTCGCAGGCAAGTGGAAGGTCCTGAGTTCGATCCCCAGAACCAAAAAAACAACAACAAAAAAAGAATTCTTACCTCTTGGCTATAGAATGAGAAGCAGTGGGCTGGATTTGGCGTGCAGGCCACAGTTTGCTGACTCTTGACATAGGTTCTTGCTGATGCTTGCTATTAATATTCTGGAGGATATGTGGTTTCTTAGGGATCAGACACATTTCTGGATCAGAGTGGCCTTGATTTAGATAGACATCTGAGCTGAACCTTTTTTTTTTTGAGACGGGGTCTCCCTTGAAGTTAAGGCTAACCCTGAACTCGTATGTAGCCCAGGCTGGCCTCAAATTCACAGC